GGAGCACAGACACCGTTCAGCACATTCACACGCGGGACTCAGCAACCGTGAGGGCACCTGCAAGGCCGAGGCATTGCTATACACGTGGTTAAAAACACAAAACCTAGGCGTAGGAGACTGGTGAGCACAGGACTTCCCGTGCCAGGGCTGGAAGGCCCTCTGCTCCGGCTGAGTTTTGGGGGCAGCTCCAATGCGCCGTGTCGCTCCCCTTTGGCAACCCGTCCTCCACCCCTCCCCGTCTCCTGAATGCTCACTGCACACCGCTGCTTGGCTTAGCTCTGCTGCATGACCAGGTCGCCGCTGGCTTTCACGAGCAACGACCTGCCTCTGAAAAGTCGGGCCAGCACACGCTAGCGCTTAATCCAGATCAAGCCCACGACTGGCCGCCCGCAGGAACCCCCGGGCAGCGGGGAACCGCAGGCCACTGGCTGAGCAGAGCCCATCTGGCGCGCGGGGCACACTGCACCAGGTTCACGGTCAAGGCTCCCAACTCTCCCAAGCCCTGCGTCTCCGCTGGGGGTGGGGGATCCAGGATCAGGCCCCCTCAGCCTCTTTGCAGAAGCTGCTCTGCTTTGTATAAAATATTTCCACGGTGACAACCCCAGGGAACAGAGGAGACGGTCTGATTTCCCACCAGACAGACAGACAGCCGTGCCCCGCTCCCTCTGTGCGCTATTGACCGGGCGCAGTTTGGTCCCCAGCTAGTTTTGGGCTTCCCCCGGAGCTCAGCTCATACCAGCAGATCAGCATCAGTCCGGTTTTGTGACCAGCTCTTATTACCTGGCCCAGCTCCAGCGACATCGTTGACACGGCACCAACCTACGGCAGCAAAGGGTTTGATCAGGAGGATAAACACTTTTCAAGAGTGCCTAAGTCCCCTAGGCCCATTTCCTCAAAGATACTTGGGCACCTTCTTCCCACTGAATAAAGAGCAGTCACTGAGGGAAAGGTGACTGAACCCCTTTGGGGAGCTAGGTCCGAGGGGATCTCACTGGGGGAAAACCTTGCAGGAAGAAAAAGAATATGAACTGCATTTGTGCCTTAAGAGAAACACACTGCAGGAAACTGCGCTCTGAAGAATCACAAAAAATCATAAAAATTCAGGCTGGCAGGGAGCTCAGGGGGTCACATCTAGTCCAACCCCCTTCTCCAAGCAGGACCAGCCCCAACTACATCATCCCAGCCAGGGCTTTGTCTACCTGGGTCTTCAAAACCTCCAAGGATGGACACTCTACCACCTCTCTAGGTAACCTGTTTAGTGCTTTACTGCGCTCCTAGTGAGAGAGTTTTTCCTAATATCCAACCTCAACTTCCCTTGCTGCAACTTGAGCCCATTGCTCCGTGTCCTGTCGTCTGCCCCCACTGAGACCAGCCCCGCTCCATCCTCTTTGCAACCCTCGTTGGAGGAGTTGAAGGCTGCTATTCAATCCCTCCTCGGTCTTCCCTTGCCCGAACCTCAGCTGGAGCACTTCCCCCAGGACACCCAGATCAAATCTCTTAGTTTTTTACGATCATCAGCTCAGAGCCTTTGCATGGTAACGTGAGACCAGCCACTCAGAGTCACCTGCCCCGTACATCCCAGGCCTTCCCCAGGCCGAGATATTAGCCAAAGGCAGATGAACTCGGCCGTATCGTTTCTTAGCCCGCCCCGGCTCGTGGCCAGGGCCGAGTACCACCTGCTAAAGCATTAAGCATCCTGATGTCCATCTGTCGCAGGCCGGCGGAGGCAGGGGCGCCAGTAAGGAGACGCCTTTGCATTCTGAAGACAGGCAGAGCCCAGTCACCAGGGTCTGAAAAATTAAATAACTCAGTCTTCATAGCGCCCTTCAGCCCTGCAGCCAGTGTCTAATTACTGTAGGAAGCCAACTGAACAGCTGGCCATTAGAATGACGGCTTCTCCGTCCCGCACTAGCTCCGCGTGAAGCCAAAAGGTCCCGCTCGGCACCCAGCCGGGTACCAAACCTCCCAGAGAAGCGATGCCATGCTTCAGCTGCGACCCCGCTTCCTCAGGGGTGGGAGCCCGTCCTTTGGGCTGAGAAGCCAATGAAGCTGGGTTTAATCCTATTTGAGGAAGGGCACCGAAGCCACGTGGGAGATGGAAAGGGTTTCCCCGCAGAGGGCTCTATTTGCAGACTGCAAACAAGGACTCCCAGTTTTCTCACCTGAGATATTCTCCATTCCCTTGCCTCCGTGTGGGATGGACCCCGGCACCGCTGTCCTACCTTAGAAGTCCTGGGGAAGGAGGGAGAAAGGGCCGCTGATTAGGGCAAGCTGAGAGCAGGAGCTGCAAAACAGAGGGTCACTGGGCATGAGCTGGTCTGCAGCTGGTGTGAGACCGAGAGGGCAGCAATAGCTTGCCCGGGATGCGACATCCTTCGCAGAGAACAGGGAGAGTAAGAGCCACATCTCAGGCCCCGCTTTGCCCTCCACCGGCCCAGAGCACGTAACACGCCCGAGCCCACGTCCACACCGTGGCGAGTCCCCAGAGTCGCGCTCCCGACCTGCAAGTCAAGGACAGCAAGCACGTGGGGACGCCTCTTCGCTCTGGGGACCAAGAGTTATTCCAGCGCCCTTTTCCTGGGCGCAATGTACCCGGGCCCAAGCAGGAAGCCACGGGGCCACGCTGGGCTAGCAGGCCGAGGAGGGGCCGTGGCAGCTCTCTCTCCTTCCTCAGCAAGTCACAGGCGTTTCTGCCACTTGTTAGCAAGCGAGAAAGCCTCAGGGAACTGGCGACAGAAAACCCCGTGGCCCCTACACCCCAAATCCCAGCCCAGCTAAACGACACCTGCTCTCACCTTTGTCCCAAGCACGTTCTCGCCCTCACCTCACCGCCACGGCTTTGGCTCCGCTTTCACGCTGCCTCTTTCTCTCTCTCGTCTTCTGCCGCTCGTGTCCCTCCTCCCTACGCGCTTATCCGCAGGCTGCTGAGAAGCTGACGCCTGGGGTCCATCCGCTGCATCTCTTCCCTGTGGCTGCAGAGATGGCTTCAGCTCTGAGATGAGAGGCAGCAAACTGGCTGGGAGAAGAGACAGGGGAGAACAAGGCAGGCCTCGAACAGGAGACCAGAAACCTTCAGCATTTGATCGAAAGCCATGCAAGAGAGCCATGCAGGCGTGGGGGTCGGGGGATCCTTGCAGACCCTGCTTGCTCCCTCTGTTTGGTGGGAAAGGTGGCCTATGGCTTAGGAAAGATGGGAGGGCCTGGCTTTGTGTGGGGAAGCAGACAGCAACGGGGCTGACTTACCCTTAGGCCAGGGCAGAGCTGCTCCTTATAAACCAGACTCGTAATTCAGAGGCATGAGCTTTCTAAGCAGCAGCGCGCTTTCTCAGATGCTATCTTAGGCCAGCACACCGTGTCCAGCACAAGACCTCCGAGGCATCCTGCTTCCACCTTGCTGCCAGGGCAGCGACCTGGCATTCAAAACGCCCCGGAAGCCATCGGAGGCTCCTTTGAAAACGGAAACTATCTAAAAACGGGATGGACTTGGCTGACACAAAGCAAGGTTTAAAGGAGGAAATTCCTCCCCAAGCCAGCAACAGCGCAGACAGTCCAGCCCAACAATCCTGAAAGTCCAAGTCTAGCAGCCAAAGTGAAAGCCTGATAGCAAAAAACAATCAGGGAGTGATCCCCACATGTCTCCATTCTCAAAGAGGGTGCCCCAGTCAGCTCCTCCCTGACCCTACAAAAGCACCCAGCCCTTTTAAGGACTTGCTTTTATCACTTTCCGCCTCTTGCTAGCCCTGGTTTAAAAATATTCACCTCTGCACAGTCCCTCTAGAAATCCGCATCGACACCATCCCCGCAATGCACGGAGCATTTCATGGACTGCCCCTTGGTCGCACAAGCCCGCAGCTTCCATGTCTAACAGTAGCTACGGCATGCCCATTACAGCCGGGCACAAGTCCCATCCGTGTAGTCACCGCTGTGATTTTAAACACGCCAACATTTTTATGCATCCAAACCCACCCCACACTTACCCTTGCAAAGGACTCGCTGCGCTCATTTGAGAACCTCTATGCACAAGTTGCAGCCGCTTTGTTCAAAGCCGTGCGGTTAAACCAGCAAGCCGCACTGCCAAGACCCCTCTGCCTTGGTTCAGAGAGTGCATGCCCACATGGGAGCTAATAGCTTGCATGTGTTCTTAATCAACCACTTATATTTCCACATATATTAACTTAGGAGTCACCACCTGAAGCTTGCACGTGTTCTTAACCAACCAGTTACATTTCCACATATATTAATTTAGGAGTCTCCACCTGCAGCTTGCACAGAGATTTTGAGACCGTTTTAGTTCAGAGACATGCTCAAGGTAGAAAGAAAAAACACCATCTCTTTTCCTATCCTCCCCCGCCAGGTATGGCAGGAGATGGCATTTTATAATGCTGCATGTTACCGTATATTATGGTAACAGCCAAAGCATTTCCACCCCCCCCCACTTACAGCCCTGCTTTAGCACACGGACAGATGAGTCCAGCCAGAAATAGAGTAATTAAAGCTGGCCATCTGCGCACTGAACCAGAAGCGCCAATACCCCAGGGGAAAGGATGCCAGTGGAAAAACACTAGTGCAACTGCACAAACTGAGTCCTCCCAGCTAAGTCACGCAAGGGCCTCACCAAGATAATACTACCGCGGGAGCGGAGAGGAACTTTCCCAGCAGAGGCTAGCAAGGTTGAGTCCTCTGTTAAGACAGGGAGGGAACAAGATTTTGGATAACTACCAATGACAGGTTTTCCGCACATGTGGAGCTCACAAAATCACTGTCAGCTGGAGGCTTTTTCCTGCACGCAAGCCCAAGATGAGACATTAATGGTCGACAAAAGCAGGCAACCCTCCACAAAAGGTATCTCTGGCCAAACTAGCTGCTCTAATGCTCCCTTAGCCACGTACCATTTAGCCCACCTGAAGCATAGCTGCCGTTTCCAGCCTCTCAAGCATTGCCTAACCTGCAGGTGAAAAGGACTGCTATTGCTCTTGGGTAACGGCGTGTTTTCTCTGCAGCTTTTCACATACTGACATCACAGGTGAAGAAAGACCTCAGAGTAGACTGCAGCGGAGCCAAAGGTGGGAAGTGACCAGAAAACAAAGCTCTGGAAACGGAGGTGCCAGGAAATCTTTCCCAGCAGACCACGTGGTGTCATTTTTCTTCTTATTAAAAAGCAGAACGGGTTTCAGGACTTTCCTTTAACGCCCTCTACAGAAACTTCAAGCGTGTACATTTGTTCCAAAGAACAGCTTTATATACGTACTTCACAAGGGTACATCACAGGTACTTTTACATGGCAGAATCATATCCTGAGAAAAAACAGTGCAAGAGTGTCATTTCATTAACAGTACAAAAATTGTAACCATTCATTTCAAAGCAAGACAGAATGCATTCAGCTGTTATTTGCTACCGAGCTTGTTCACCAGCGGTTTGAATGGACATCGTATTAGCAGCTGCCCGGGGTTCAGTCCTCACCCCCCTCCGAGTCCAATTGAGTTTCATGATTTCATTCTCGTTATTACGTTAATGATTCACTTTATAAATGTGCAGGGGTCTAAAGAGGTGCAGCAAGGTATAAGAACTTAATGGCTGCGGGGCAGAGTCTAGCAAGAGATGGCGTTCGCTCTCTTGAAACGCATGCATAGAGTCGTCTATCAGCCACCACTAACTTTACCACCTAAATAGAAAGCACCTTTTATCTGTTCTTCACATGGTCAAGGGAGGAGGGTCTCGATGCTTTGGCAGTAAAGGACACGATCTGGCAAAGAACTAAGGCCCACTGGATTCCTTGGAGTTCGAAAACATTTAGTACCCTCTGGGATGGGGCACAATTACATGAGCTTCTCAATCTCTCCGTGCACAGGTTAAGATTGAAACTGGGAGTTAAAACACATCCCGGGCGGCCAACAGCAGGAGACAAACTGCACAATACACATCTTAGCAAAAGCAGACATCCAGGTCTCTGGGAGACTTCTGATTCCCTGATCTATTTAAAAGGGGAAGAGGAAAGCAGCCCAAGTACAAAACGACAAGAACAGCAAATCCTTCCTGCCCACTTGGTGAAAGGTTTCACACTTGCTTTAAGGCCCCGGCTGGTCAAGTTTGGCTTCGTCATCTTGGCCATCGTATTGGACAGAATCTGTCGATCTTTTATGCTATGGTTAAACCTACCTGAGATACAAATCACAAGCGTTCCTCATTCTAGGATTTAGTCTCCACTTTCCCTCACTGAGAAGCTTGTACGTTTAAAAGTTGCAATGGTCCTAAAGCTTTTCCCTTTCTTTTCTTTTCCTGTAGAAAGCTTTACAGCCCCCCACAATCTGAGCAGCAGCATGGTTGTCTGGCACTCGGCAAAAATGAGAATTACAGACTCGTTTCACAATTACAAACTAATATCACATTCAATATTTATTTATTTGTAATACAAATAGAAACACGTGTGCCCAGGTCTACTCAGACTGTTTATAAAAAGCTACAGACATTCTTCCATCGTCTGACAGTTAAAAAGCTGTATTTAAAATGATAAACAGATTTTTTTTCAAGAGCCTGTCAAAGCAAGTGACATTTTACTATTAGGAGGATCTGCCACTTCTACCAAGGAGAAGTCTTTTCTCAAGGAGCAGCTTTTACTATACAATCAATGACTTGTCAGAAAAGACTTTATTGGTAAGATTCGTTTTTTCTTTTTAAATCAGATTCGCTATAGGCTTCCGTAATGAAAGGAGTAAAAAAAAAAAACCCAAACAAACAAACAATGGTAAAATCCCTCTCTTGACTGTGATTCAGGGCGGCCCAGCTCTCCCTGGTTATTGGGAAACCTGGTTTTGAACAGCATCTCACTTCAAAGGAAAAAGGCCCTCCTCCCTCATGAAGGGGGTGCAACATTTGCAATTCAAGGGTGCGGCTTTAAAACCTTAGAGTGAAAATGGTGCATGTTAAGCACTAAAAGAACAAAACACCTAAAAAGCCCTTTGAACTGTGGGGGGGCAGACACACATGCACAGAGAGAGACATAAATACCCTACCAGTTTACTAGGGACCCATGCATGATACGCAACAGTGAGCAACTTGGCTACATAAAAAGAAACCGTGATTCAGATTTGTTTGGACCCAATGTGCAAAAGTTCCTTTTTCAAAAGGTTCTTGAGATCGACTATAAAAATGCAACAAGCAGAGAGCAGGATTCTGCAACTAGTATTAGATCGGCACGATCATAGTTGAATCAAAACCGGTGTTTCCTAACAGACCATCTCACACTTCTCTAGCTGTCAGAAACTGCTGCTTTTATTTTTATTTCCACAAAAAGAATCTGGTAAGTTAAAAGCACGAATGACATCTTCAGTGCTGGCTGGAAGGCAAAAAAAGATTGTGAGGTCCATGAGCCCTGGGTTGGTTTATATACGGAGACTTTACTTACCACCAACTACCAGATACTTTCAAATTCTTATTTTCCCCCTCTTCCCTGCAAGTTTCTACATTTGATAAAGGTGCTGCATAGGTAATCAGGTGACATGGGCTTGAATGGAAGTCTTGTAAATAGCTATTTAAAGCATTCTCAGGTGTAAATCACAAACGAGCGTGTGTATTTTTAACAAAATATTTTGCGCCCAGTACCTTTGTATTGTTTTCTTTTTGCACTTAAAAAAAAAAAACCCCAAACAAACACACAATAATGACAAAGCAACTTTGAAATCAAAGTTTCAGAGATCAGATTATGGTTCCATGAAACAACGTGGCTCTCGCTCAAGATCTGTTGGGGAACAGAAGCTCAAGACTGAAAGCAAAGGAAAAGAAAGGGGAAAAAAGGAGCGCAGAAAAACAACCGATGCACGTGTATTCTGTTGTCTGCAAGTTAAGTCTGCTCTGGGTAGCACCACCTAAAAGATTTGTTGAAGCTTAATGAAACTCCACAAATTCTTCAAGAGTTCGGGGGATCTGGTTCTGGTAGCTAATGTTATACATCCGTACTGCGCGGGCCGCCAGGCACTTGAGGCTTAGCTTCATTTGAGTTTTAAGGAGTATTTCAGACACCCCCGTTGTACTTTTATCCAGAGGCGTCTTCTTCTGCTTATTTGTCATGTCTGTATGAGCACCAGCCTCCACCAGACTAATGATGATGGAATGCAGTGTCAAAAAGTCACTGATGGGTCTGTGGTACTGGACAATTATGTGAAGGGGGCTGTTTCCTTCGTTGTCCACAGCATTCACGTCGGCACCACAGTCTAATAAGAGTTTGGTGACAAGTGCGTTAGGGAAGCTGCAGACATCGTTCGTGTGGAAGTCATCTACCGGCGTGCTGGAATTGACCGCGTGATGCAGCAAACTGGACCCATCCCGCGTTCGGGGGTCAAGATGAATCAGGTTATAAATCTGCTTGTTGATTCTCGACTGCTCTCCTTCGCTGCTCTGGGTCTTGGTAGAAATGCACACCAAATACAAGAAGGTAAAAATATTGCATTCATAGTTGTCCATGGCTGTGTGGATATCGGTGTCTTGGATGTTTTTGATCCTGGACATACCTTGTTCTATTTCCAAGACGCTACACCTCAAAACACTTTCTATGTCCTTGGCTTTCACCGGTTCATTCAAGTGTATCATCTGGGAGAAGACTTGAGCAAACCTCAAGAGATCCTTGTGTGTGTTTCTATTACCTTTCTGCCTCAAGTGTAACGCGTGAAGCCATAACTTGATACACTGCTCAAACTCCATGTTATCTGCATAAACAGCCCCCCGATAAATAATAGGGTGTGAAACATCAATGTTGTCCGAGCCCAGAATTCGTTCCCGCACTATGAGGCCCTCCATGTGCAGGGCATCTCTGTCTTGCCTAATAGACTCTAATTCCTGAGGAGTTCTGCATTCAGTCCTGTTGCCGTAAGCTTCGATTTGTGGAAGAACCTCTTTCGCGATGATGTTGGCGCTGTCTCTGTACCTCTCCAGCATCGCCAAGTATAAATAGTGGTACGTCTTCATTATATCATAATTTTCTCTGTCGTTCGCAAACGAGGCCCCCAGAAGTTCCAATGCTTCGATGCGACTTCTCCTGTCACAGTCAGCGTGAGCGAGCAGTAGCTCAACCACATCTGCCTTGCAGCTCTCTGCAGCCACTTTTAATGGAGTCATCCCATGACCGTTCACCATCATGGCAGCCTTCCACTTGACCAGCTCCCTCACGATCTCTAAATGGCCAGCTTCGGCAGCAAAGTGTAATGCTGTTGCACCGCAGTGGGCTTTGGCATTGGGGTCGGCATGCTGTTCTAGGAGGTACCGCACCACGTCCGTGTGTCCCTTGTAGGCAGCGATCATAAGGCAAGTGTTGTCATACTTGTTGGCTATGCTGATGTTGGCGTTGTTCTCTACCAGGTATTTAACAATGTCTAGTCGGCCATCGAAGCAGGCAGCCCGCAGCGGAGTCGAGTTGGTCACCGTCGTGTGGTTCACGTTGGCTCCATGACTCACAAGCAGCTTGACGACTTCAAAGTGCCCGGCTCCCGCTGCACACCAAAGCGCCGTGGCCCCATCAATGACATAACTGGAAATGCAAACATATAAAACAAGCCATTAATGAGGGGCTGCCCTCAGGGAGACCCAAGGGGCGTGCAAGGAGCCCATTCCCCATTCCTGTTCAGTACAGACCCTGGAGAACCCCCCTGGTTTTGAGCTGAAAATGTCCATTAGCAGGAACAGGACAGAATCAGGGAATCAGCAAGTACCACCACCCCAAAAAAAAGAGGCTAAGCTGTTCAAAGCAGAGCAGGTGATTTGCCCTTCATCGGCCACTGACACAGAACCACCTGCCCCCCAACTCCACAGATCTCAACCTGGCCCACCCAGTCCCAGGAAGCTTAATGACAAAGGCAAGAGCTGCCGCCGCTTTGCTCTCTGAGGAAGCACTCTACAAAACGAAGGCTTCAAGAGACAAAGCCTGGTGTCTTCTCCACTCCGCCTCGTCTCTGGAGTAGTGCTCGACTGTGCAAACAGGAGCTGCTTCCACAACAGCAACATGCAGTCAAGCTGCCCCTCAGCCTTCGCTGGGAGGTCAGACCCCAGCACAGAGACAAGTACCTCTCCCCCACCGCGAGAGGAACTTCTCTGGGCTTTTCCAAAGATAAAGTCAATAAAGCGCCAATCCAATCCGACTCATTACAGGCCTGAAAGTCCAAATGGGCACCAGTGACTGAGGAATTCTCCCAGGTGTGTCTGCAGGAGCAGGCTGTGAGCCGCCGCTCAAGAGCATGGGCTGGGGACTGCTGAAATAAAGGGACTTTATGGCCAGATTCTGACAGCCGTACTCACCGTTAGCAGATCCCCATCCCATGGAGTCCTGCAGCAAACACCGGGACTTCCTTTGCATCAAAAACCAGGTAGGGATTTCAGACCCTGGCCTAAGAGCAGACAATTGCTCTTGGACAGAAGGGATTTAACCAACGGCCACCAACGACAGTCAGGCCAAACATAGCAGTGACCTCTCTCTGCCCAGGCCTGTAATAATCTTCCCCTTTCTCACCCCAGCAGCAACAGGGAAGCCAGCTTGGGAAGCCTGAAATTGCTCTTAGAGCAGCCTTCGCTGCCTGGCTAGGGTTAGGCAGGGGGGTTTGCTACAAGCTGTTTCTGAGCAGTCTCCTGTCACAACAGCACTGCAGTAAGAGGCTTTTGAAACATGGGCAGTAACTCAGAGGAAGAAGAGGAGTCTCAAAATAACCTGCAGAGCCAGGTAGGAGTCACTTAGCAACCGGGTACCATTTCCAGGTACCACTTGCACGCGCTGCTAAACCTAGGCATGACGTAACCGTGGGGGGACTGGATGGCCACAGAATTAAGGTCGTGTCTACCAGCTAATGCAGGGGTGGGCAAAATGTGGCCCGGGGGACGGATGAGGCCCGCCGGGCCATTCTATCCGGCCCATGGGGCCCCTAAAAAATTTAGAAAATTACTATTTATCTGCCCCTGGCTGCCTATCATGTGGCCCTTGATGGCTTGCCAAAACTCAGTAAGTGGCTCTCCACCCAAAATAATTGCCCACCCCTGAGCTAAGGTCACCGTGCTCCAGGCTGGCAGCCTCCCAAACTTGCAGCAATGCAACTTTCCAAGCGACGCTTCACATGGGCAATGAGACAGTGCCAACGAGCCTGTGCTAATTAGCCTGCCCCGAGCACCACACAGCCCTGGCCACAATGGTTCCTGGTGAGGAGGTGGCTGGCCTGGAGCATTGCCACCTGCCTGACAGCTCTGGATCACGTAACATTTACCATGTAGACACAGCTCCAGGTTCATCTAGGAAAACACTTCACATAGCAACGATCCCGCCCCCCGTCCCCTTCAAACCAACTCTGTCTGCAGCAGGAGGTGCATGCATGGGAGCACAGCACGGGGAGGAAGCCCCCCAGCGCTGGGTCCTGCCATCCTAGGAGCCTCGTCACAGAGGTCGAGTCCAAAAGGCTCCTCAGGAACATCTGTTCCAGCTGCTCCCGCACACGCACAGACATCCACTCACAACAAACCAGCCTCTTTCATACAAACGACCCAACCTGCCACGTGCCACAGGACAGCCAGAGAGGCAACTAGCACCTTGCACTGGGGCAGACGTGCATTAAAACAATCCGGTTTCAACAGCTGTGGTGTCAGCTCTCAAACACACAGACTCCAGGGTCAGGGATGGGAGTAGCCCACAAATAAGGATGTTGAACCCAACTATTTTCATTCGCTTCAGAGGAAAGTTTCTTCTGCAGCCCTCTGTCCTGCCTTGCGTACCACGCAGCATCTGGCACTGGCCAGACTGCATGTACTCAGTGTGTCCACGTACAGGAATACCCTGTGAGCCCATGTGTAGTAGGACCGCTCTACCCTCCTGCTGTGTCCATCTCGGTCATAAGGGCATTGCAAATCCTCAACTACAGAGACAAGGAAACGAGAATAGATCTGACAAAACAAGAGAGCTAAGGAGCCGTGCACCTTGCCCACAACATGCACCAGGCAAAACGTGTTGTGGTGTCTTTAGACAAAAGGTTCATAAAACCCACTTCCTGCGCATCGCAAACAGGCAGAGCAGGTACGGTCACTGAAGGCTCTCAAACCTCTGTTAACACGTTTAAGCCTGCGTGGCGAGTGCACAATCAAAGCATCCTTTTTGAGGCAGCACGTCCCATCTGGGCTGAGCAGGGAATACAACATGCTACAAACAGCCACACAACCTCAGCATGCGAGTCTCTCATGTCTCAAGCTAAGCCAGGCCCCTCGCTCGCTGACGACGCTATCTACCTGCTGCAGGTGCCAGTGAAGGCAATTTGGTAGGCAGCTCTCTTTTCTCCTGTGATGAACCACAACTGTTATAGTCAACAAGCACCAAAACTGTTCATAGATTCAGAGATGTTTGGGTTGGAAGGGACCTCGGCAGATCATCGAGTCTGACCCCCTGTCCTGGGCAGGAAAGGGCGCTGGGGTCAGACGACCCAGCCAGGTGCATGTCCAGCCTCCTCTTAAAGACGCCCAGGGTAGGGGAGGGCACCACCTCCCATGGAGCCCGTTCCAGATTCTGGCAACCCTTACCGTAAAGAAGTTCTTCCTGATGTTTAACCTGAATGTGCTCTCCATCAGTTTGCGGCCATTGTGCCTAGTTACTCCAAGGGGTGCCCTGGTAAACAGAGCATCTCCTATTCCTTACTGCCCCCCGCCGCCAATAAATTGGTAGGCGGCCACAAAATCACCTCTCAGCCTTCTCTTGTGGAGGCTGAAGAGATCCAGGACCCTCAGTCTCTCCTGGTAGGGCTTTGCCTGCAGGCCCCTAACCATACGAGTGGCCTCCTCTGAACCCTCTCGCAGTTATCCACATCCCTCTTGAAGTGCGGTGCCCAAAACTAGATGCAGAACTCCAGCTGCGGCCTGACCAGTGCCGCATAGAGAAGTATCACCTCCCTGGACCTGTTTGTCATGCACCTGCTAATGCATGATAAAGTGCGGTTAGCTTTACTGATCGCTTCATCACATTTATGACTCATGTTCATCTTGGAGTCAACAACGACTCCGGGATCCCTTTCCGTGTCTGTGCTGCTGAGAAGGTCCTCCCCCAGCCTGTAAGCGTGCTGGTGATTCCTTCCCCACAGGTGCAGCGCCTTGCACTTGTCTTTGTTGAACTGCATCCTATTCTGGTCCACCCTTTCCAACCTGTCCAGATCCGCCTGGATCCACTCCCTACCCTCTAGTGTGTTAACTTTAGCCCATAATTTGGTATCATCCCCAACTCTGGACAGGTTGGAGGACCTTTCCCAGAGGTGGGAAATCAAACCTTTGTGAATAGAAATGATGCCCAGGCATCACTTCTCCAAAAAGAGACATAACTCCAGTGCCCTGGCTAAAACTAGGCACAGTCTCTCTCCCCTTAAATTCATCCTGCAGTTTCAATTGGTTAGTGTCAGTTCCTTTAGGTCTTGTCCTGAACTGGTGTAACACTGTTGTGAACAGAAAGTCATTAACTTACTGAACACTAAGTACCAGGGACTTAGCAGAGACACTGACTTCATGGTCCATCGCAATCTACTTGACACTTGCTAATCTCTGCACTTCGCAGGTGATAACGACCCTCCTGAACACGTTCTTCCACGATCAGGTTTTCTCTGCCTCCCTCGAGATTATTTTTCTTAACATCTGGTTTTATTGACACGTGGAGTTTTACTGCGCCTGCTTCTTTCCCAAAAGCCTCAAGAAGGGCCCTGTGACACCCGAAAGCTTGTCTCGCGTGCAGTTAGACCAATACAAGACGTCACCCACGCGAACTCTCGCCTCTCCGCGCGTTGCATTTCAGGGACGGAGAACGCGCGGTTCCCTGCAGAGCTCTAGGAGACGAAACGTGCTACTAGGAGAGACGTTCGCTGCTGTAACGTGACCTGGCACCGCTCAGCCCAAAGCAGCAGGGGAACGAACGGCACCTCGGGCATCAGAAAAGGAAGAGAGTCCCACACGAATACAGATGATACGTGGTCAGCGAATGCCCCAAAGCCTCGCGCAACCCGCAGTAGAGGTGATGTCACAGAATGACGCATTCTGCTAACGACTAAAGCGAGCCTGTCAGCATCTCACCTGGGGACCCAGGTAAATTATTAGTTTATCCTACACCCTTGCTACATGTACAAATCAAAGCTGGACAAAACCAGCGATCGAGCTCTTACACGTTTTCAACCACTCGCTTTATAGCCGGTCGGCTCTTTTTATCGCCGAGCAGCTATTTTTAGGGTGTGATAATTACTTCGCGCATGTGACCAGTCTAAATTTATCGGGCGTTTCACCAGTTAGTTGCATGATCTAGCAGGGGCCTTAAAGAAGGAGAAACGAGTGCGAGTGGATCGGTCCAGACAGGCAGGACGGCAGGCGGAGGACGGTTCCCCGAGCCTCACCGGTTACGACTCTCCTGAGCAAAGGGTGGCCATTCCCTGGGTCTGACCCTTATGTTTTGGGGTGTGTCAAGGCCGTGGGGGGGACGTGAGTCTATCGGAGGCGTATCGCATCAAGCCAGGGGGACTCGAGTCGATCCCAGGGAACTTTGAAATTCAGACCTGGGTCTTGCCCGGCGTCCTGTCACACCGCGGCACCGAGCGGAGGCTGAACGGGAGAGCGAACAGGAGATTTTCCCCCTCCGTTTCTCCCCCATTGGCAGCATTCACGGTCTAGGAAGGTCCGATTCCCACGCCCTTTCCTCCCTGTTTGAATCCGGCCTCGTGGAAACATAGGAACAACTCCCTCGTGTCGGTTTCCGCCCGACGACGACGACGACCCGCCGGCGCCCCCGGCTCCCGTCCGCAGGGA